CTCTTTCCTTTGCTAACACAAGCTTCCCTGCTACGGTTGGCTACCCTGCTTCAAAGGAAGGAGCGGTGGTCTACTCGGAGGTGTACTATGAGGCCCTCGAGGCTCGCATCCGACCTCAATCTGCACTGTACCTACTACGTCGTAGGTATGGTGTAATCCACAGACCAGGCTCAGTGGCCCTGAATGAGATTGCTCAACTATAGCGTTGCTCATCTTCATTCACAACAATGGGCGCTTTGAAAGATACATCCGCTAACCGAGGTCGTGGGAATGAGCCTATCAAACGCACATTCGCTGTGACTCGAACAGAGCTGTCCTCGGGGACTGCTACTACTACCACCGACGATAGCAGCGTGGACCAGGCGCAGCCGCTCTTCCGCCAGCAGCAGAGCCCGGTCGCACCAGCCGATCCACTCAAGCAACAGCAACAGTTGCGAAGTTCGCGAAGTTCGCGACGGCTTACCAATCTCAAAAGTTTCTTTCGCTTTCGCAAGTCTCGGCAACCGGATCTACCATTAAATCCATTACTCGAGCTTCCGACCAGACCGGAGAACACCAGAAATCTAGCTAGCGGGTGCATGCTAAGTCGCAGCATCGTGGAGGGTTATTGTGCGAAATCTACATCAAACCCGCATTGCAGCGGTCAACTCGACGAGGCTGGCGAGGCTCGCAAGGTGAGTGACAACACGGTGGATTCTCTCCACTCGGACCAGACCAGCGCGACGGTGTGTCATGATCCCTCCAAGCGTCTTTCCATGCCCATTGCCCTTGCAGACGCATCCCTCTGTCAGAACCCATTCACCGATCCTCTAAATCTGGTAGACGATTCAGAAAGTAGCCGAAACCATGCAAGGAATCCGACTCGGTCCACAAGACAGTCTAGCTCCGAGTCGAGCCAGACGGGAGTCTCGTCGACCTACGACGATACCGAGAGTTTCCAGCGACTAGCCAACCCGTTTGCCGGAGGGAGTTCAATCGAGTCTCGAAGTTCCTCACGGGACAGTTTCTATGTCTCAACCTCGGATGATAGTTCTGTGATTGCTGAGATCGAACGGCGCGCCGCCGTGCTGGAATTCAACGAACTGGTCCAGAAGCTCCGTCTCCCGCCTCTGCCGATGAACAACAGCAAGGGGGCAGAATCGGGCGATGGCTCGCGTTCCCAGTTATCGGGTTCGCACGGACAATTCCAACGGGATCGACGCGTGGATTATCCAGCTGACTGGGTGCTAGGGCAGCCTCCCCCCACCACTGCTGGCGAGAAGGTGTCTTCCGGACGGCGAGACCGACTCTACGGTCGACTACGTACGATGCGATCGACCCTACAACTAGGCCTCTCGTCGGAGGGACCCCGCACCACGCGGACTTTACGTCGAATGAAGACGTTGGCGCATGTGGGCACTCGGGTGAACGAGATGACTTCACTGACGGGGATATCACTGGAGGAATTGGCGCGTCTCGGGGGCTATAATCTACTAACGCTGCCGGCCGAGTTTGCGCCTATGAAACTCCGCCTCCCGGTATGTTTTGTAGCTACAATTACCGTCTTGGGACGATTTGGTAGGTCCTGGCCCCATCTCTACCCCACCGGAGATGCGCGAGGTGCATGAGATGGAATGGTCTCGCTCATTTACGTCATTGCTCCAGCTGCCCCGGTGCGCGACGTGTTTGTCGATCCCGGCCATCCGAAAATGGCAATGCGAATCTACGACCATTTCGCCCGGTCGGTGCTCGCCGCCCTGCGACAACCCGATCAAATCCAGATGACAGTTGGACGTAGTGACCTGCCCCTGGCGGTGATCGAGCCTAGCGCTCGTACGATGGACGACACAATGGTGCAAAGCATGGCACGGGCATTCCTGGCACTACTGGCGGGGCTTCCCGGAGGGCTTCTGGGATTACCGGCCCTATATCGGGTGCTAGTGGGCATTAGCCAAGCACCCGTGGTGGGTGACGAAGTCGAACGGCGTCGCAGCTGTCTTGGAGGGGTTTCGCCGCAGGATTACGTCAAGGTCAAGGCCATTGGGCTGGCGCTGCTGGCCCTGACGAACACTATGCAGCTGCACCTGCTCTGTGGAGTGATTGGCCTCAGCGCTCTACTCCTGCATGAAACGCAGCGGCTAGCGCAGGAGGAGGCTCCGCGCTCTGTCAACCAAGAGAATGGACGGCGGACGAGTGGGGGGCCGGGGCCGCTGACGCTGGACCGGCTGGGTCGCGTGCTCGGACCGTTGCTCACGGGGAGAGAGGGGTCTGGCGACACGTTTGGAGCTATCGCCCAGGAGATTGAGAGCGAACGAGTGGTGATGATGCTCGTGGAGCACTGGCGAGGGATCAGTCGTCAGCTGCGCATTTGGGAGCATCGCAACCTGCCGAGGCGGCGCCGGCGATCCGTGCAAATGGGACGTGCAATGGTCTGTTACTGAGGCGGTTCTGAGGATCGGGGGATAACTCCGGGAGCAACTTGTTTGCTGGTCGGACGATACTTGTAGAAACAATCAGGGAGCGATAGAAGGTTTGATATGAAGTCATCGGGGATCCGCATCAGGGGAGGATGGGCGACGCTAGTGAAACGGGGGTGTGAGCAAAGGTACCCATAGACTCAGTACTTTGGGCAGCTGCTGTATTTCTTTTCTTTTCTTTTCTTTTTTTGTTTTTCGCCTTTTTTCTTTTTGCCAGGAACTATATAGTATGTGTGTGATATTGACAGAGTGAGTCGTCCGTAGTGGGGACCGTCGAGTGAGCGGGTTTGCCAGCGGGCAGGAAGTACATTGGTGAGTTCCGCTGGCCATGAGACGGCCCCCGATCGAGCAAACCAAGGTTGGCCACTGAATTGACCTTCTAGTTGTACAGTATATTGAGGAGGTAAAAGGAATCGCCGGGCTCTTCCGGCCAGGATGTCCAGCGGATGAACGGACCATCAGGTTATTCCCTTTTCTTCCATGGTCGATGGTCTTCCTGTACACCTATTGAACCGAATTCACCGATTCTGGTCGGCTCTGGGCGGGAGAGTGAGTGCGAGAGAGTCTGAATTTGTTGAGAGGTCTTTGCGGTGTTGGAACCAAAAACCAAGTTTTCCAGTCCTGGGCGATGTAGACTACATGGAGAGGAGAGGGGAGGGTAACTTAGGGGAGGGGAGGGGAGGGGAGGGGAGAAGAGAGGGGCGGGCAGTGATTGCTCATGGAAGCGGGCCGCGTGGGGAACATGTGAGAGACAAGAAGGAAGCAGGGAGCAGGGACTAGAAACGAACGACTAGAAGGGGGCCTGGATTTGCGAGAATATGCTTCTGCTTCCAATTCAACTCTATCACCTTATGAGCACTCTCTGAGAACTTTTGACTCGTACGTTCACGGGTCGATCAAGGACTGTTGAGTCGTCGGATGATAGAGCCGATGCGGGGGAAGAAGGGATCTTTTGATCCTGATCCTTGTATGAGTAGTAGAAATTGTTGATTTGGCTGGCTGATTGGGTGGGTGGGTGATCATCAGTTGATTTTCTTTTTTCTTTCTTGCTTGCTTGTTTGCTTTCTCTTTCGATGACGATGACGAAGATGATGATGATGGTCTTGGTGCTGGTGCTGGTGCTGGTGCTGATTGATTGATCCATTGATTCAATGAATGGGATGCATGAATGAATGATTCAGCGAAAAGTACAGTACCATACAGGATTTCAGACAGGTCAATGCTACGCACGAGTCATTTGGTACATGCATTATACGACGTACCTTACACTTACTCAGTATTTGGTAGGGTCTTCTTCGATTCTTTGCCAGCTTTACCATGGTTTGGGCAAGCAGCGACGAGGAGCGACGACAGAGGAGTGCCATTGGCGGAATAGTGTCCGCTCTCCATCCAAGTGCCTGGGCCGGGATGATTGGTTGGCAGGAAGATGGCTCCGGATAGCTTCAACCGCCAATCAGCGGGCAGAGAAACCTGTTGAGAACCTCAGGCACCACACCTGCACTCACCTGCAATGACGTGGTGGTGTGGAATCAAATGGATGGCCTGGTTCTTCAGGACCTCCACCTACCGGATTCAGATAGCTACGAAGCTACTAGGTAGCTAGTACCGTAGAACTACCGTAGACTACGGTAGTATACTTGAGTACTCCTACTCAGACTCCAGCAAGCACATGTGATGTCAGTTCCCAGGGTTCCTTCTTGGCTTCCAGGCTGGGCTGCTTTGGCTGCTTTGGCTGCTTTGGCTGCGGGTGCCTCTCGGTCCAGTCCAGTCCAGGTTCAAGACGTTCTAGCCTTCTGCTTTTCCTTCCAGCAAGGTTCGCTGCATATCCACGGGCCATTGCAGTGCCTTTCCCTCCCCCCCCCCCCTTCCCTCCAATTCTTGACACATTCCAGGGCTCCCTCTGAGATTGTCTCAAACAGGAGAGGGATCGACATCCACTGTGCCAGTGAGTGTGTTTCCAGACTACGGAGACTGCTTGTCTGCAGGTGTCTGGTCTGTCTGTCTGTTGTCTGTCTGTTGTCTGTCTGTTGTCTGTCTGCTTGTTCTGATCTATTGCGGGTGTGTGTTTGGGCTTGGTAGGTATCACAGGTCTTGATACTGTTCCAGTCTTTCGATTCTTTTTCTGCTGCCACCTCCCCTCCCCCCTCTCCCCTCCCCTCTTTCTTCTGTTGTACTTCCTTTCTCCTCAACTTGACTTCACCTTTATTCCTTCTCTTTCGCGTTCTTCCCATCCCACTCACCTGCTTGCCCACTACAACGACTGCAACGACTGCTACTATTACTACAATACTGCTATTCCATTATCTCCTATCCGTATCCTCCTTATTGTCATCACTCTCGCTTCTCTCGGACCCCACTCACTCGCTCACTCACTCTTTCACTCACCACTACTCATCCATCCACTCGCCTCTATACTACTGGTTACACGCACCCATATACTCCCTCCCACCCCCGCCTTCCACTCACACTCTCTACACTCGGCTCGACTCGACACTCGGGGTCACAATGAATCCCAACTTCAACCGGTACTCCCGGAACTCCCACGTGCGGAACGGACAACCCACCCCGCCTCCTCACGATGAAAACAAGCAAAACAAGCGAAAGTTCTCGCAGATGAACGTCGCAGGCCCAGTGCAGCAATACCAGCAACAACATCAGCAGCAGCAATGCCAGCAACAGCTGTCTCAGCAGCAACAATATCAGCAGCAGCCACAACAGCTGTCCCAGCAGCTTCCCAGCCCTCCCTACGATGATGAGAAGGCCAAACGGGAGCGCTTCCTGGAGCGTAACCGCCTCGCCGCTAGTAAATGTCGGGAGAAGAAGAAGAAGAACAACCAGCAGCTGGAACAGCGGTTTCACGAACTGCAAAACAAGAACACCGAGCTCAACACAGAGATCGAGGACCTTCGCGCTGAGGGGATCGCTCTGAAGAACGAGTTGCTGAGGCATAGCGAGTGTGGGGACCCGGCCATCTCCATCCATCTCAGTCACATGGTCCAGAACATCACCGCCAGGGACCACGCGGCTGCAACCCGTCGGTCCGCCGAGATTTCCGATCTGCTGATGATGGGAGATCATGCTGCGGTGGCTACTGGCTCCAGGGTATCGGTTTCTTCCCTGACCAACTCCCCCCCTGGTCTCTCCACCTCCAGGTCGGTTAGTTCGTCGGGTTCCTCCGGCCTCTCGCCTGATGCTGCTGCCGCCGCGGCCGCCTTCGGCTTTGATAGCCCGCCTATGCATATGATGCCATTCGCCAGCGGCTCCGCTAGCAGCAGTCACGACACACACAGCAGCCTCAAGTCGGTCATGGATGGCTCATTGGACTCGATGCCTGAATACGAGTTCCTCGAGGATCTTGCTTTGATGGACTGAATATGATACATGTTGCCGGCCTCAGCTCACCCCGGCTTTACAGCATAGCGGAAGGCCTTCTGATCGACTTTGATTTATTGTTTCATGGAAAAGCCAGCGGGAGTTTATGACTGGTATCACATCTGTCGGGCGGGAGGATGTGTTCGGTGTTTTTTTTTTGTCTGGGAGACCTGAAATTGGTGGCAGTGGGAGGCTCACTGATTTGAGGGTTGTTGCTTTTCTTTAGCGATCGATTTGCTTTTGTATGGGCCAGGCGTTTTTGACTATTCTTCAAGCGGGTTTGGGGGTTATGGCGTTCTACGGCAAAAGGCAGACACAAGCATACGGGAAAAGGTCACTGCCAGGGATGGGGATTGCTTTCCTTTATTGGGTGAGGAGTATTGCTATTGCTAGTTGGGACTTGATCATCATGGATGTACGGGATGAACTTGATAGTGCTAGCAAGATTGCTATCAATCTTAGAGTCTGATCAACGGACTTGGTGATATCTCGGCGGTGGCTGGTTCTTAGTAGGTGGTGCTTATTATGGCCAAGTGCATTTCCCGGGGTTGTTTAGTGGTACAATACGGAGTACACAATAAGGTTAAATGATTTGGTACTCCGTAATCTCTAATGGATGATCTTCGAGACCTGTTCAAAGACCCGAGTAGAAGGTTGTTTTATTTTTATTTTTTTTTTTCCTAAAATTGTTGGACTCCATAGACATCGAGCTAGAATCCAGTCCACATTCTACTACTTAGACTACCTACCTTAATTTACTGTACGGAATACACCAAATAACTTAATGGATGCAACCAGAGCACCGGAATTTACCCGGATAAGCTTCCAGGAGAAAAAAAAAAAACAATTCCCAGGAAACTAGCTGGCACCTGCATATCGTCCAGTGTGGCTGGAATTTACTTTTTTTGTTGGTTTCTTGTTTTCCCTCCTCTTTTGGGCCATTCAATTTCCGGGAGAAGGATTCCTCCTCAGTTGGAAGGTACTAGGTATAGTACATAGTACTCCGTAACGTACTCCGTAGTGTGGATTGTGTTGTGGAGCCTCTCCCCCCCCCCCCCACCCTCAAGCCGGAAAATCCCAGAAAACTTGGAACAGGGTTCTGACTTCTGGATTGTGCTAGCAAATGGAGAGAGAGGAGAAGCGGGCAGGCAGATCGAGGGAGCGGTTATTCCCGCCGACGTCATTTACTTATACTGCGGTGACGGTTGGCTTTGCGAGGGTGATTTCCGATCGATCGCTCGTCCACGGTTTATTTTTTTTTTTTTTCGGAGGGGGGTGATCACCTACGTTTTTGGGGAGGTTATTGTCTTTTTTCTTCTTTTTTTTTATCTTTTTCTTTTTTGTGTGTGAAGGGGGGAGGGTTTTTGGGGTGGTTGTCTGGGGTTTTTTTTGAAATTGAGATTATTGTTGAGTAGTGAGTACTGAGTACGAGTATGTTCTGGATGGGTGCTCTGGTTCTTGTCGGTGCTAGACATTAGTCTGAGTAAGGTTAATTAGGTAGGGGCTGGGCTTGGTTAAATCCAGTTCTATGAGTAGGTAGTCAAGTCGGGATGGGTTAAGTTCTCGAAATGATTTTTCCAGTCCGGAATTCTCGGGCTTCTTTCTGTCCTGGGTCTGGATGATTGGCCTTTCTGGGGGATTGAGGAAACCTATCTTCCAAGTTGAATCTGAAGTACGGTACGGAGCTGTACATGTAGCTAGGTTGCTTGGTGCACGATAGGTTACTATGCTGTAGTATGTACTATACATTACAGATGGTACTGTAGTTTATCACAAGTAGGTAGTCTCCAGTCCACTCGGTAAAGTAATCGAGTCTGAGTCTGATCCAGTCTGGTCTTATCTATATTCTGTAGAAGGTATCTATTATCTGTGGTTAGTATGGAATCCAAATTGAACGGCATAGGTATAGTACTAGGTATACCTTCCCCCCGAGACCCACACCCACCGGATTTGGGAAACCAAGTTTGGATGCATTTAGCCGGGTAGATAGGGTAGGTATTATCTAGTAGGTAGGGTTCCTTCTTGGGTAGAGATGCTAGTTGTCTTATACTGAGTACATGTAGTTGGGTGGACTACGGACTTAGCTTACTGGGTATATCTCAAAGAATTGAAGTGTTTCCTTTTTTTTCTTTCTTTTTCCTGAGTAGCTGGGGTGGCCCCACCAACACCCATACTCACCACTTTGACGGGGGGATTCTTCCGTGTGAGTATTGCTAAATACCTAGTATAAGATTGTTTTTCTAATCAGGGTGAGAAGGCAAGTAAATCTTCGGTATTCTGGCACACCTCTTGTAATGGATAATCAAAGGTGAAGTGGTGTGGTGAGAGGGCTAATTTACTCACTATATTATCCACGGATTACTGTATAGCGGTTCTCGTAAGACCTAAATATATAGAAAGAAAGATGATGATAATGTAAACTCTGTTTACTTACTCTCTGCTTATTTCTTGCAGTGCTTGTCGGTGATTCGAATCACAATCACCAAATCAAGGGAATCTATTTTATTGTTAGGGAGAGTTTGCCCTAACCACAAGATGGTACATTGCAAAATGGGCGGAAGCAATCTTGATGAAGAGGGCTTTCTACACTTCTGGATTAGATCAATCATTATGTATTTTATGAATAAATGCTCTTGTGATGACAAACGTGTGTAGCTACTAAAATACGTGGACGTCTGCCGGATATAGAGAGGGCTGCGATCATGTGATCTGTATATCTCTCAGTGCTCTTGGTAGGTAGCTTATCGACAGAGTGCAAGCCATTACACAAAGAATTGCTAGAGAAGGGATTTATATTAGCTGCAATGTTACATGTCCCAGTTCCGGAGGGCTTGCAGGCATTAGATATATATTTCTGCCACAAGCAGTCTCTAGATCTTTTAAATAAACAGTGATCTTCTGTGCTTTTTATATCTTTTTGTTGGTTACTGTATTCAAATATAACTCTATATGCTATTGTTTAAGCAGCATTGGAAACCGAGCTGTAATTGCATTTGCAACTGCCAGCAACCGCAACCGCAACCGGTCTACTTGTCATCCTCCTCCACGATTTTGGAACAACCTCACTAAGCCGTGGTTGACTAAAAGCGCCTTGAAAGAAGCTCACCGACAAAACCAACTGCTCTGTCCAAGCCAGACCTCCGTTTTCAACTCTTACACCTTCGCCTCTGATTACTTGCGCCGTTGCTCTGCTGCTTCTTTACAAGAGATCAGGAGATCTGCCCGCAGTGGAGGACCAGATCTAGCAGATATTCGAAATATCACTACGTGATTTCCTCCCCCTGATACCGACCCATAAAAAACTAAATCGCCTTCTTTGCTTCCAGTATCCTGCACCAGCCGACGTCCAGCAACCCTCTCTGGATTCTCCCAATTCCAGCCTAACGCCAATGACTGGGAAACCACTGTGTATGATCGACATTTCGAGGACTATTGCTGAACCATGGGGTTTTCCTACCACTATCTACCTACCCCGATGGGACGGAGCCGCCCGAACCAGAGAACTTGGCCGAAATCCAACGGAGATTGCAGGCTCCACGACCATCGCGTGTACTGTCGCCGGACTCACTGAAGAAGAAATACAAGGAATTTACCAGGGTCAATAGTAGAGCCATTGATGAACAACTAGTGATCAAGGATATCCTACCTATTCTTGAGGGCAAACCAACCGCTTCTTCTTTTCATTCTGGAGGACACCGCTTCACGAACCTGGCTCCGTTGACCGATGGGACTCTCGCCAACGCGAAGCCGGATTTCTACTACGGTGCACGATCCAACCAGCTCGAGCCGGCTGTTCGACAGGAGCTGAATGACCAGATCATCCCATCCACCCACCCAAGGCAACCGCCCAGTGGCACCAAACTTTTTCGTCGAGGTCAAAGGTCATTATGGGCCTGCGCCTGGAGCCATGCGGCAGGCTTGTTATGGGGGTGCTCTGGGCGTCCGAGCGTTACATTCCCTCCAGCTCTTTGGGCATGGGAAGGGGAATCCAGGTGACTGCAGACCGACATATGACAACAAAGCCTACAATATGATGTGTACGTATCATAGTGGGTGTCTGGTCATTTGCGCAACCCATCCTACAAGGTCCAGGAACAAAAACAATAACAGCAACAACAACAAAGATTCTTCTACTCCCCGTAACGACTGATTATGTGATGACCCAGGTCGGGCAATGGGCGTTACTCGGCGATCCCGAGACCTACCAGCGGGGCGTGACTGCCTATCACACTGCGCGGGACATGGCCCAGGAATTTCGAGACCGGTTGATCCAGCAAGCGAATGCTCGATATACAGCTGGTCAAGACCACCAGTTCCCCGGATCTCCACTCGAACCACGACGGAGGCGTCGGATGAGCCAAGCATTCGGCCGAGGGATTTGTGGTAGACCCAGCCGGGCATCTCGGCTTTGTGAGAGAGAGTGATGGGTGAGAGTGCCTACTCAGTAAGCTCTACCTACGACTTCTACTGTACATATGCTAGTAGGAAGTAACGTAACTTCAGTAGTATCTGGGGAGTTAAGCCAGTTAGGTACATACTAGTAAATTCGATTTGCCAAACTGTAACTTAAACTGGATATTACGCATCGTACTGTATTCCGAGTAACTTATCCATGATGTATCAACAAGTGAACCCAAGTAAGTACCAGTGTAGACCAACCAACCAACTGAGTGAATACTGGTATACATGGGTACTACTTAGTACCGTAACCCTCTCGGCCGACCAAAAATCCGACCGTGCGCCGCGAAGGTTCTCAAGATTGGAAGCCCTGGCATTCAAACAGAAACTTCACTTTGACTTTTTGGTTTTGACTTTTCCACATGATTTCACTTCGTCATAGCGCTTCAGTTTGTCAGCATACGGAGTGTCGTGGAGGGTTATCTGTGCAATACGCAGTCAAAGATCTTCGAAGAGGTTATTTCAAAGTTCCCCTACCCTGTATGGATCACCCAAGCCTTGATAAAATCCAAGTTACCCGTACGCGGGGCAACTTCCAAGGTAAAGTGTTGAGGTTGGTACATATGAGCTAACTACAACGCTCGGAAGATAATTCCCCTCTCAACCAGATACATAGCTACTCTCCGGCCGCCAGAGAACAACAAAACTCGGCCCATCAAGCGAGGTGCAAGTCACAGTCCGACTCGCAATCACTTTCACACTGAACAGCACGACGCCGAAGACTCCGTATGCGGCGGGCATCCAAATAGTCCGGCCAGCTACAGTACCAATCCAAAAACTCCGGAATGGAGTCGAAGCGCGGCCTGCGCCCGTAAATCACAGTAGGCGCCAGGAAATCCCCCTTGTCGTCAAGGACAACGACCCGCCACGCCCAATCCGGATATTGGGGGCATCGGGAATAGCATCATCCCGCACGGCATCATCCCGCTGCCGGCAGTAGAGATAGGCACTATACCAGTGAGGGTATTCACCGATATAGCCAGTGCCCGTAACCACACCAGCCTTGAACTCCAGATCATCGGACTCGACCGACGGGCCAACCATCGATTTATGGATGAGATCGCCAATCCCGTCGGATTCCAGGTACTCCCGCACCTGCGCGCACTCTTCCCGGTCCAGCTCACGGTACCGCTCGGGCTGCGTCTCCGCCAACGCCGCCTGTTCCTCCGATAAGAGCATCAGCCCCGGCTCAAAGGGCGGGATGGCGGAGAGGCGGAAATCCGGGTCCTCGACCGCGTAGGCGTACTGCAGGAACACGCCCAGCTCGTCACAGCGGGGAACCAGCCCGGGGGTCTCCTGGCCTCGCTCCGCCGCCCAGTCCGCCGCCTGCTGCTGAAAGACTTGCTGGAGCATATCCAGGAACTGCTCGCGGGCTTCGTGGGTCCGCAGTCGCGGCGGGTGCACCCCGTTCAGGGGAAATGGGAACACCTGGCCCATGTCCATGTCCATTGCCGCGGGAAGATCCACCAACCGCGGCGGAAACCCGTTCTCCCTCTCGTTCGGTAGGTAGATGTGTCGGTACTCGACCATCTTCTGCCATTTCACTTCTTCGCGGGCCAGGCCCCGGGCTTCGATTTCATCCACGCGATCCTGGATGAATCTCCGGTTTGCCGTGGCCATCCGGACGCGGAATTGTTCCAGTGCTTGCTGCATTGGTCTGTTCAGCGTCCGTGGAAAGTCGCCATTGTTTATCAAGATTGGTTTTGATTGAATTCTGGGAGAGTGTCAGTGGGTTTCGGAGGGGTTGTTTCTCTATCCCTCACTGGGACGCTTGCAGATTTGCGTGCGAAGGTTGGGAATGATCTGAGGCGCTTTAGCAAATGAGACTCGCGGAATGAATGGATCAATCCGGCAGAGATGGAATTATGACAGATCAAGACTAGACTCCACTGGCAATCGTACATGACCTTACTGAGAATTCTTACTTGATGCAGTGGGCGCAGTGCAGTGAGTGTTCAACTAGGGCGGGGAGGGGGGAGATAAGCTCGGCTGGTTTATCTTCGCCGGTGGAAGTACAGTGCAGCCGCAGCAGGGTTTGGGTCGTTGGCTTGGCTTGGCTTGGACTGGGCTGGGCTGGGCTGGAATGGAAGCCTGGAACTGATCTCGGGCTGGTGGGGGGCCTTCCGTTCGAAGTTTCCGGGTTCTGGGCCCCCATCGCTCCCTCGGCCGGATGTCGGGCGTAATTCTGTTCTTCTGTGTTTTGGGGTGGGTTTGGGTGAGATTGGTGGTGGTGGCGGGTAGTGGTTATGATTACCTTAGTGGTGGGCTTGAGTGGGCGCTGAGGACTTCGAGAACAATATCAATTCAAATGGGTAGATCGAGTGACAGAGGAAGGAGAGGGGGTATGCCTCGATGTTACATCGCTTCAGTTTAGGTTCTGACGGTTCTAGTTCGTAATTAGCCAGCCCTACGGTAACTTCCTTTGTCTGATTTTGTTTAAATATTTTGAGGTGAAATGTAAGGAAGAGAATACGAAGGGCCGAGGCCACTGGACTGTGCAAATAAAAACAAACTCTGGACAACATCACTCTACATCATCCCCGTCCCTACTGCTGACACCTTCATAACCCGCATCCGCAACCGCAAACAAAGAATCAATCTCCTCCAACCCCATCCCCCTTGTCTCGGGCAAAAATCCATACACCAGCCCCGCGAACCCCGCATCCAGCACCCCGAACAACCCAAACGTGCCCCACCCCAGCCCCTGCAGCAGGTACGGCGTCGCAGACGACCACCCAAAGTTCGACAGCCACTGTGCCGCCACCCCCATCGCCACCCCGGGCTCGCGGATCCGCGCCGACGAGAAGAGTTCCGCGCTGCACGGCCAGGGGAGGGGGCCCCAGGACAGGTTGTAGGCCACGATGCTGAGGTAGATCAGGAGGATGGTGGCGAGGGAGGCGGGCGAGAGCGAGGAGGATCCATGGTCAGGGTCTGAGTCAGGGTCAGGGGTGGCATGGGCAGGTGATGACGGCGATGACGGAGCAACCGAGGTGGTTCGCAGAACGGCTGCCGTAGCAAGCATGCACACCGACATGGCCAATGCACCCAGAATCAGCAACGGCCGACGGCCGAAGCGGTCGGCCACAAACGCAATAAACAGCAGGCAGCTGATCACCTTCAGAAACCCAAAGATCCCCGTCAGCAACAATGTCAGACGGGCGGTGGCGTCGGAGGCCGTTGAGACGTCACTGCTGCCCCCGACGAGCAGGGCGAAAAACTGCGGGCCGAAGTAAGCCATGGCGGTGGCCCCCGTGGACTGCTGGCAGACAAACAGGGCGACGCCCAGGATCAACCGATGCGCGTTGGCGCGCTGGAGGAGCTCCCGCGGGGAGAAGTCGGCCGTCGCGTGGGCGTCGCGCTCGATGGCCGACTGCATGGCCCGGAACTCGGCCTTGACCTCGGGGCCGCGCGAGGCGCGGATCCACGTCAGGCTGTCCCAGGCTTGGTCGGCGTGGTCGTGGGAGAGCAGCCAGCGCACGCTTTCGTGCAGAGTCAGCATGCCCACGCCCATCAGAGCGCCCGGGATGAGCTGCAAAGCCAGCGGGATCTGCCACTGTGCGGCGTTGCTGGGCGCGTACTGCATCCCGTAGTCGATCCAGTACGAGATCAGGATGCCGATCGTGAAGGTGAACTGGTAGCAGCTGCCTAGCCGGGCACGCATTGAGGTTGGGCTCATCTCCGTCAGATAGATCGGGATCACGGTAGCTGAGCCTCCGATACCCAGGCCGCAGATGACACGTCCGAGGTAAAAGACAGACCGAGCATGGGTGTCGAGGATCTCGAAGATCACCCCCGCACAGAAAACAACGGAGCAAATGGCCATGGCAGGGCGACGACCGAGTCGGTTGGTCAAGGGCCATATTACCAAGCTGCCAACCAGGGCGCCAGCCTGCTGGACGCCCACGGCAATGGCACTAACGCGGGTTTCATTCTGTGAGGTATATCGAAAAGACCGGTGGAAGGAGTCGAAGGTCAAAACCCCTCCTGCATGTATGCGTCATTCTTATGGCCTTGCCCTGTGGGATAGAGATCAAATACCGATCACGCCAGAGTCGTACCCGAAGAGCAGGCCCCCGCAGCAGACTATGGCCGTCAGCCAATACAGACGGAATAGGGCATGGCGGGACGGCAGCGGAGCAGAGGATTCCTCCTCTGCATGCTGTATGAGAGGATCCTCAGGACGGATATCATCCTCAGTCACCAAGACAGAGGACCTCATCATGGGCCATACCCAGCAAACCAGACATCCGGCGCGACTGAGAGATATATATGTATGGGATTATGACAAGAAGTAAGGAGGCCTTCCGCGGAAATTGCGAGTCAGATGACGTACCGGCGCTTACGTGTTGCATGCAGCGGTCGGGGCGCCGATCATGATCGGCTATCAATCAGATCATCACGAAGGAATCAGTGAACAATTCCCGGCGCACACAGCGCGAATCCGCCCACGTTCGCGACGCATCCTGCCGCCTGGTCATCTCCTGCAGCAGGAGATAAACATTTTCGGCATGCGGGTGACGCGCGGGCTGAGATTGGTCCTCACTGTTCTCACCTCGCTGGCTCATCTGCTTCATCTGCGACAAGATCCATTGCCGCTGCTCCAAGGATGCCTCCAGGCCAGCCACAAACAACGGCCACACGAAACTCGCAGGCAGATGTCGCTTCTCTCCTGCAGGGGACTGTGTGTCGATTGCTGTCAGATGAAGAATGCCTTCCACGGCTCGATGCACTCGATCCGTCCGCGGATAGATGGCGAATGCGACGCGGTGCAAGTAGATGAAGATCGCCAGGAAGTTGGCAATGTACTGTCTGAAAGTCCGGCATGCTTCCCGCGCAACCGCAGGCTGTAGAGTGTCGTGGAGCAGCTTGGGGCTGCTGTGGATGTCGAGCACGCGTGGACGTCGGTTCCAGAGCGTTTCCAGGTCGGCGCTTATCTGATGCGCGAGCTGGAGAACCTCGAACTCGTCACTAACAGTGCCGCGATTTCGGTGGTGTAGGTCTATGCACACAATCCGTCGGAGGATCTGTTGCGTCTGCAGAAGAAACTGAAAGGCCGGACCGGTGACTGCTTCACGGATGAGGAACGCAGGCTCGGGGCTGTCCTCATCCGCACCATGGCTTTCCTCAGGTGGTACGACCCCAGCATCCCTTCCTACTGGCGCAAGGCTTCCCAGGCCAACGAGCGGATCGCCCTCACGCCCGGCGATCAATGCCTTGACGTCTAACAGCGAGACCCAGGAACTGATCAGGCGGCTCACGCCCGTCCAGAGCCTTGTCCGGCCATGGAAGCGTTGTAGGAGTAGATAGGCTGAGTGGAGGAAGGACGTACCCGTTTCCCCCAGATCTGGACTCGACAGATGCTATTTGGTGAGTCCACGATCCTGCAAGTCTCTAGAGAATCACCTACCTCCGCCAACATCAACATCAGCACCGTTGTGAAAACGTGCCCGAGCACGGGCTCTGATACCTTCATGACTAGACATGACTGCACTTCCGACCACGCTAGCTGATGGTACCTGGACTTGCGGTTGCGGTCCCACGCCGTCCCCTCGACCCACGTCTGATGCACCTCCGAATAACAGTAGATACCAAGTAAGACAGCTCGACAGTCTCGCGACTGACGCACGATCCGTGCTCGCACATACTTCCAATCCAGGTCGACCGGACCAAAGATTGTAGGCGGCGGATTGCTTGTCTCGAAATGCGCGAACAGTCCCGCTTCGTACGGCGTCTGTTCGTGATGGGGGGCATCCGTCCCTCCAGAAGGACACCCGCCCAAACTGCCAGAAATCGAGCTCATATCCGCGCTAGAAGCCCAGTTCATCGTTTGTGCAGGGTTCCTGGTGGATTCTGTAGTGGTAGCGACACTGGCAAGCTCAGGTCCCGCCGACAAGCCAGAGGGCCCATTCGTGGTTAGGTCGAGGTGCTTCTGCTGAAAGTCAGAGGTAAACTCCCCAATGAAACCGAGGATATCGAACGAGGAGACTAAGTCGACAGCGGATTCGGTAGGCGGATGGTCAGAGGCTGGCTGTCGTGGTGGTGACGAGGCTGGAACTCCGTCTTCACATAGGACAGTGTGGAAGAAGTTCACGTCGGGACGGTCAGAGGGTGTTCCAGCAGCCACGGTTGCGGAGGCTGCAGGATCATTCTGGCAGTTGATTCTTCGTGAGGAGATGCGGTCCGCGATAATGGTCTTGTAGGTACATGGGAGACGCAGACGAGTGCAGTTCGCACATGCCGGTTTGACCTCGTCGCACCGCACCTTGCGCGACCGGCACGTCAGACACCCCGTGCGGCGGCGGGGACCTGATCGGCCCATGCCACGTGCTCGCGGAGTCTAGCATAGTCAGTATACAGACTGGTGAGATAAGGTACTTGGAATGTGCGAGGGCAGATACCTCCATGGTCCTCAGATCTGACCTGAACAGGAGCATGCATGATGAGTGTCTGTTGGCGTCGAAGCGCATGAAGCGGGACTGACGATCACCCAGCGTGGGTTCAGGAACCGTCGCCGGGAACACCCGCCGCGGACCGCGCTGCGTCTACGGAATCACAAGGGAACAAAGAATGGTCTACACGTAAGGTGGATGTATTTACTGGAATCATCACTTCTATATGACATAAGACTGTCCTGCTTTCTTCACCGTACCCTGTGGTAGAGCACCTCCCCAGGTACAAGCCCCTTCTTGTCCCCACCGAGGCATTTCGACGTATGGAGCAAATGTCCCCGTTCCTTGCGCACATACGCCGCAAAGAAAGCTGCAGCCATTGCGATGGCACCGTAGCTGATATACACTGGGTACTTGAACTGTTCCGGTGAGGGGAAGGCGATGGTAGTCGCAAATGATAGCAGCTCGAAGATGTTTTGGAGAGCTATTTCCGTCGCGGAGAACCGAGCCCGGCAATCTTCGTCGACTCCCTGCTCTCGTCAGCGTTGGGCCCCTTCCTAGCAATAGGACTTCTTACCTCTTGCACCAGAAACTGTACGGACAGATCGAATCCCCATAGCCCGACCCGACTGAGCGCCACGCCCACGATCAGACTGACAGCGACCACCTGGGAAGAGGGGTCGAGTAAGGCAAAGGCCGCCACCGCTGTCACCAGACAGACGAACTGCCAGTTCAAGAACCACAACCCAGACCGTATGGGTCCGATTCTGTTCATGATGAATGGAGCCGCCCAAGTCCCGGATAGCTCCGCCGCCACAGCACCAATTCTCATTGCGCTCACTTGCAGGGGGGTGAAACCGGTGTGAAGCAGGTAAGTGACCATGGTCGCGCCAAAAGACAAGACCGTCAGATAGAGTAGACTCAAAGCAAAGCTGGCTAGGAAGAGGGGACTTCGAGTGTACTCTTTCCACGGAGCTGCAGCGTCTGTGATCCGCTGCTTAAATCGCTGAGCTACGCTCCGAGTTTCAGTCGCACTGCCCAGGGCGCCCTCCGATCCAGCCGCTGGCATATTACGTCCCAGCTGAGAAACTGAAGCATAGACCTGGAATTGGTGAGCATTGAATCGGACACGAGACGACCCATCATACCTGTGCGATGGCAACGTATTCAACAGCAACACAAGACACGTTGACCCCCAGAGTCGTCCATATAGCAGCTTTGGTGGAGAAGCCGTCAACCAGCGAAATGAATATGGGGGCAATGAGCTTGCAAAAAAGATCTATTCTTCTCATAGATGCGTTGAGGTCTACTCAGTCAGCTTACATCGAGCGAGATTATGCTAGAGGGCTCCTACCTTGACGAGGTATCTCCAAAGCATCTGCCACAACAATGGCCTGCTCAGCACGTCAGAAGATTACCGTGCAGTCGTGCATGTCATGAACCTACCCAATCCCGCTCCACTGCTACTGTATTGGCCGTGGCGGCGAGTTTCTCGAAACAGGCCAGCACCACTGTCGTTAAGAAGAGCAGGATCCTCAGCGTCAAATTCGACGAAGCAAGTAGCACCACAAAGCAAGCACAGGAGCCCGCTACGGGGAGTCGCTGCCAGACTAGGATGCTGTTAGCATACTATCGACTGGAAGGTCAAGAGCCATCTGCGTACCGATCGAATGTCTAAGTGCAGTCAATCGATTGGATTGGTCCACAACCGAACCGAGCAATGATGACAAGACAACGGCCGATAAGGACCGCACGAGTGCGTAGATTGAGGCATATAGCAGGGTTCCGGGGAAGATGGACGCCAGGAACAGGACCGCCCCGAATTCAAACATGCGGGAATTCCATGTCGAGAGAGAGTGAGAGATGTAGAGTCGTAGCAAAACTCGTGATGAAGCTCTTGGATTCACCGTCTGTGGGCTCACTGGTCTGTCGATCAGTGGTTCGTGGGCAATTAGAGAGCTCGATGTCTCGTCCGGTTCGGAGGTGGACGGGACCATGGCGGGACGTTCAATTGCAGGATGGTCGCATCACACAAATTACTTTCAGTCAGATTGATGTTCAGGACATCGCAAACTGGTAGTGTAGACCGCGCACTTGTAGAGTAGCGATTGGTAAGCTTGAAGTTGCAAGGAGGTTGAAGGCAAGGTGGAGCGGAGGGTGAATTCCGAGTGGGCTGAGGAAAGAGAATGAAAGTAGCCGTGGTTCGTTCGCCGGGTGAGGACCGCGGGAGCCTAATAGAACTACTGACTGTACTGTCGATCCATGGAGATGTGCTGTATCGTACACAGCATCGTTCAACATGTACTACCTCAAATCGACGCATGAAACTACATGAAAATTGATTCATCAGATAATTATTCTCACATGTCATTCATCAAGCTGTCTAAGAAACTGCTCGCAACGAGACCAGCACCGTTGACGAACTTTTCCGAAAGAAATCCCCAGGGTCACTACTCTCCGACTCAGCTTTGTAAGAGAACAGTTTCGCAGCAATACCCGCAAGGCAAAAGGCATATGAAGACATGATCCCGCTCCCTCACATGCATTGCTAAGGTATGATGTTCAAAAATGTACAGCAAACACGGTAAAACTTTATATCCAGATAGGCAGCAGGCAAGCGGGGGCATGAAGAGTGGATGAGAAGGATGAATGCATCGCGATTCCTGTCACGAGTAAGATAGAACAATAGGAAGACATTAGAGCGCTGGGATTAAGATTTGAAGCTTTCTTGTCTTCGCCCACCGACTATGAAAAAACCCTCACGCATGAATCCGCACTTCCAGTGGCCAGGATGCACCGGATCTTCTTGTTCGCCTCCTGTCTTTGAGCCCCAGGACCAGCCTCAGTGGTCTCTTCTGTGACAGCATCATCCGTCACCACATCGGGAGCCCACCTTATGCAGCTGACAAAGTGTCCATGCGCGTCGCTAATGGTCTTGACGAGCTTGGCTTCCTGTGAGAGATCCCAGCACCGGATAGTCTTGTCGTCCGCCACACTGACCAGATATTTGCCTCCAGGATGAAACACTAAGCCTCGGACCCAGTTATCATGACCGACCAAGGTCTTGATCAGCCGTCCCCGCGAGTCCCAGAGTCTGATCGTCTTGTCACGAGCCCCGGTCGCAACAAATTCGGCTGAGCTGGTTGCAGGGGGGGGCTTCTTCAAGCCAGCCAAGGTTGCTAGATACTTGTAGCTGGCTGGCGGCGCGAAGACACAGCATTCGAGATAGTTCTCATGACCCAATAGTGTAGCCTTCGCCTCCGCCGTCGCAACTTCCCACACAGTGGCGGCCTGATCTCTGCCACCCGACACCAGCCATTTCCCGTCAAATGAAGGGGAGACGTCTCGAATCCAATTATCATTCGAACGGATTGTCTTGACGCAATAGCCCGTGGATGCGTCCCATATACGGATGGAGGCATCGCGACTGGCCGACACGAGCAGATTTCCGTTGTTGGGCAGGAAGCTGACCGCCGAGACGGAATGGTCGTGTCCGGAAAGAGTTCGGATATTGGCATAGTCATTGCTAGGGTCCCATAGTTTGACTGTAAGGTCACTTGAGCAGGACGCCAGCAGTGTATGCCCTTTTTGTCCGCCATAGTCCAGACCCGAAACTGCCCGCATGTGGCCCTTGAGTGTCCTCTCCAGTTCGCCTAGTTCCCAATCCCAGATCTTGATGGTGCAGTCTTCGGAGCCCGACGCCAGCGATGTGTAGACAGGATGGAAGGCAACGCAAGTCACTGCATCGCGGTGCGACTGAAATTTGTGCCGCGCCGGTGATGAGGGGAGCCAGCTCGTGGGGTCTTGGTTAGGTCGTGATCGGGACGTCAAGGCCATGGAGTCCAATTCGGCCTGCAAGGTCGACACCTTCGACTCTAAGTCCATGATCTTCACTGTTCGTCAGCGCATGCGAACCCCTCTCCCGGTCCCGCGCCCAGGGCAAGCGGTTGGTGATTTCAAGCGGGGTAGGGAGAAAAATGCTCTCACCTTCCTCTGTAGCCGAGCCACGCTCGTCCATTTTTTCTCCAGCAGTCCCTCATATTTCTTGCATGCGGTGTCGTCAAAGCCGTCGCCGATCGGGAGCTCTTCGCGTATGGTCGCAACGCTTCGGGTAGCATTTATGGAAGATAGATAAGCTATTAGGGACTTGTGCCTAGCCTTGTATCAGTGGATCAGCAGACAACTCAAATCGGAATTCGCAGAGAAGCTTACAGCTCCTCTGCTTGTCTTGTTGTCAACGTTTGACTCATGACGAGAGATATGAAGTTGGGTGGGTTTGAAAGCGATTTCGGGTTGCGGCCGCCAGAGGGCGACGCACTTCGTCACACAGACGAGCGATCGGGAGTGGTTGCTGTTGCGGTCACTGTGGCAGTCGGAATGGGGAATTGAGAGAGATAAAAGAGTTCAGAGCATGGCAGAAAATCAGGGAGGCAGGAATTTAAAGGTTCGGGTGGTCAAACGCAAAATTGAGTGAATGGGAATCATGAATTCCTTTGCTTTGTATACAGTCGGTTTCGCGCGTGCAGCGCCCAGGGGCCGCGGGACCTGTGGGCACGTGTTTCGATCTAGAGTGGGCGGTGAAGGCAAGAATCCAATGAGGGAGCATTTGCTCACAAGGCGGGGTATTGTGCTGCTGAGTCAGATCACTATGCTGCACAGTCGGTTTGCCTGGTGGTCGATATCTCTCTACCTTCAAGCCGGTAAGACAAGGCTGGAAGCACTTTGTTCGGGATACAATTCGTTCTAAGACTTTGAAGATCTGTGTTAAAGCATCCAGACATGCACATACATGATCTACCCACCGTGTGAGTTGTGATCACGTGATTCCCTATTCTACATGGTATGGAACTCGCCTTCTTCTATCGCACATTTTAATGGTATCATAATAGTATCTAAGAAATCTGTTCGTAGGTGAGAAACAAGTAATCACCCGTGTCTTTTCACTCCCATTGCGTGCCCTTCAGGCGCTGCATCAGGTAATCGACCTCGACGACCTTGGTAAGGGGAATGACATATTCCTAGAAGACAATCAGCGAACTTCCAGACCTCAAAGTAGAGGAATATTCTCACCTTGTACATCGCAACCACCGCCTCTACATTGATTTTGGGTCCGCTCTCCGTGGGAAAGGCGGGATCGGTGCCGTATGTCTTAGCCTTCAACGCCAGGCGCTCGAGAACCTTCTGTTCGACCTTCGCATCGGTGATAGCAGCATCAATACCCTCGCGGTCATTGGCCTTGATCAATTTGACGAAGCGCTCGGGTTCCTTTTGGAACTTGGACTCGGCGACAAACTTGCCGAAATGGATGCGACGCGAGAGGGCCTGTAGACAGCTGACGTCGCAGGTAGCCGAGGAGCCATAGTTTTCCTGAGTTTCGCCGCGGTCTTCACGGCCGAACTGAGCGCAGACGGCGGGAAGAATGTTCTCAATGTAGCGTTGCTTGATGATGCTGTTGACGTTCACGTCATTGTCGTGCAAGATTCTGGGGTATTGCAGGGGCGCCAGGATCGGCTCTTCCAGAACCTCGGGGAAGAAAGGGTATTCATCGGGCGACTGGTAGCGACGGACGCGGGACTGAATGCGTTCTTGCTCGCGAAGCAGGTAGTCCAAGAGGCTGATATCAGTTTCGGGGATTGAGACACCGCCGGGAGTGTAGACGGGCTTGTTGAGGGGAAACTGGACTCGTTCGATCAAATGGAAAGTGATAGTGTCTTCAAGTCGGCTATAGGAAGCAGATTAGTGGGCTGTTCTGTGATTCCTAGGGAGTGAGGCTAAGTGGTGAGGTATGCAATGAAATTGAAGCCATACGACGGTGGGAGTAGGGGGCGAGTAGCAGGGATGATGGTCGACCGTCTTAAGAATGAGGGGATCTTCGATAATGACGGACGGACGGAGGGGCAGGATTATTTCCGGCTGATCGTCGACTCACATTAGCTGGAAACGGATGTTGGCAAGATCCAACGCCTTGGAGGCATCGGAAAGATCAATGGCTGTATCCATGATGTTGCAAGATTATCAATTTATGAAAGAAAAGAATTCAATTTCACTATCGGAAGCAGAGAATCGGCGACGTAGAGGTTTCACACATTCCTTGGGAACGATATCGGATTTAAGTGCTGGGCAGGTTACAGAACCTACAGCACTAGCCTTGCCGATCTCCACGGCTCTGACTCGATTTTGAGAGCGGCATAAGGACTACATTCCGACGGCTGCACAAATTATACGAGCTCAATGCGCGATAGCAAACTAAGATCCCAGTATTTGGTTCATGATTTGTCGCCGGATTTTGCTTGTAAGGCGCCCTGACAGGGAGGACTAGGTCACTTTTAAATCCGATTTATACATCTATACGTGGTAATTACGGTAATCTAGGTACTGCTAGGCCGACTTCGGGGAGCTGGTACCGTACCATAGGCGGTAGGTAATTTAGGATGATCACAGGTTTGTGGCTGGTGATGCCGTCATGTCATGTGCCTGTTCCTTCTCTTTTCCTTGCCTGCCTTGCCTAAATCTGGAGAGGAAGACTCGCTGATGGTTGGGAAAAGACCTTTGGATATATATGGGGATTCGATGCACTTTTCTTCTGGCGTCATGTCGATTCTCTTCGGTTCTATCGCTCACCTCTCATACTATCACGCACAGCCACCGTCCTCTTCTCCCTTCCTTGGGTGGAGACTGAGCTCGAGCTCTCTCCAGTAAAATACCACCCGAAACACGGTAATTCATCGCGTGCAACTCCGTCCATCCAGAACTTCTTTCCGCAATCTTCAAGGCTTAAAGAAAGCCGACCAACTGCCCGACTGACGACCGCACCCTGCTGAACGACCCTTTCCTTTCCCAACGCTGCAACTCTCGTATGGGCTTGAGTGCCTCAAGCTCTCCTTCGCCCCCCTCGCCGGTGTTGCTGTCATGGACAGGCGCCGTCGTGATGATTCGCCTTCCGGTCTATCAGATATTGTCGAACAGGATGGTCTTCTAGGAACCGGCATCACGGTAGTGTTCTCTTGACGTTGTTGACGGCAGAACAGATCAATACTGACATGGCACTCTATCCGTGGATCAGACTCGTCATATTGAGGCCTTTGGACGGAAAGTCACATCGACTGCTGGGCATTTGATGGGACCGACTTCCGAATCTTCCAACGGCGGCCACTACCACAACGCCATGGTTGACATCCAGCGCGAGCTGCGGCGCCCTGCCGCTCAGCGCAATGTGTTCTCCCTGACCCAAACCACACCTACCGATTTGGTCCGCTCTAAACTGTCTACATCTGAGATCCAATCGCGAGCCATCTCCTCCCTTCCTGATGAGCTTCTCATGAACATACCTGAGGACAGCAGCTCCTACTCGCTCTTCCAAGGATTTCAAGCCTCCCAAGATGATATTGAATATCGAAAGGCCCACCGCCGGCGCTCGTCCAAGAGCAAGAAGCTATTGAAGGATGGGGAGACGCACGCCGCTTTACCTTCCGCGCCCACCGACTTGAGAAAGGAACGAGATCTACTCAGCCGCAGGATGGACCTGATGGGTGTTCGCAAGAATATGTGCAGCTCGGAGATACATGAGATAGACAATAAGATCGCAAACTTGCACAACATGCGCAAGATTGTTCTAGACCGGTTAGCCAGCCTAGAGATGGAGGAAGCCGAACTGGAGCATGAATGTGAGCAGGAATTAGGGTTACCATATGCGATCTGGGCTAGCGGCTGACCAAGGCTTAGTGACGGAGGTTGATAATAAGTTGGAAGATATTGAACAAGACGAAGCAGCTCAAGCGCAGGCTCAGGCCCCGGCAACCCCAAAGTCATCAGCAGCAAACGATGACTCGACCATTTCGGAAGACCCGGCAATGGATGCATCCTTCATGTCTGAGTCTATATACCAAAAGATTCCTTCCCCTAAGAGCGTCAAGCAGAAATCAATAAGTAAGTCTCTCCCTCTACTATGCCGTGGGGGAACACTGGCTGACAAAACAGGGAAACGCTCGATGCCGATTTTACATGAACATTTCAGCCCGGGTTCGGAGATCAAACAAATGACGGCTCATTCCGACATGGTCACTGCGATTGATTTCGACTATCCATTTGGTACTATGATCACCGCGGCGCTGGATGACACCGTGCGGGTTTGGGATCTCAATGTTGGCCGTTGCATTGGATTCCTGGAAGGGCATAATGCTTCGGTGCGCTGTCTTCAGATTGAGGACAACATTGTTGCCACGGGCTCGATGGATGCATCTGTCAAATTATGGGATTTGAGTCGCGCCCGAACGATGACCACTCGCGACAATCGCATCACCCGCCGCGATGATGGAGACGAAGAAACCGTTCCAGCCGACGACGCTTCCGTGGCATCCCATTCCACCACGCTGGAGGACTGCTTCGTCTACTCATTAGACGCTCATGTCGACGAAATTACCGCGCTTCACTTCAAGGGCGACACGCTGATTTCCGGGTCAGCCGACAAGACACTGCGACAGTGGGATCTGGTCAAAGGGCGTTGTGTGCAAACGCTCGATGTATTGTGGGCGGCCGCGCAGGCGTCGTCGCTGGGAGGAGATTCGCAATGGCGCCCCTCAGGACGCCTGCCGGACGCATCGGCAGACTTTGTCGGGGCTGTCCAGTGCTTCGATGCCGCTTTAGCCTGCGGTACGGCAGACGGTATGGTCCGTCTTTGGGATCTGCGCAGTGGACAGGTTCATCGTAGCCTGGTGGGCCACACTGGCCCTGTTACATGCCTACAATTCGACGATGTGCATCTGGTCACTGGAAGTCAAGACCGCAGTATCAGGGTATGTTATTTTGTTTCTGGGCTTGGTTGCTTGGGTGCTAATTGCCTTCAGATATGGGATCTCCGAATGGGATCGATCTATGATGCCTACGCCTATGACAAGCCCATTACCAGCATGATGTTCGATACCAAGCGGATTGTTGCGGCTGCAGGAGAGAACGTTGTGAAGGTCTACGACAAAGCCGATGGCCACCACTGGGATTGCGGCGCCGGAGTCGGCGCCGATGAACAGGGCCCATCGCCTGCAACAGTCGAGCGAGTGCGACTGAAGGATGGCTTCCTAGTTGAAGGCCGCAAAGACGGTATCGTTGCGGCATGGACATGCTGAGATGACTATACATTTCTATGTCATGCAAAACCCTGCCACGCACATGCTAGCACTTGGATGGTTTTGTGTTTTGTGACTGCTTTGAATGCCTCAGCGACTGTATATTATCTTTACGTTTGGCCCAACATAGAAAGGAACCATGGCGTCTTACGGTAGGATCATCCGTTGTAAACTAGTTTCTGACTGATACATGATGCCCTGCTCGTGGTCACTCCACTACCCAATGCTTAAAATTCCTCTTTGTTCATATTCGAAACACGCTTCCTCAATGCCGTATATAAAAATAGCTGAGCAAATAAAGAACGTAGTTTGGGTTTCACGGACACTGTGGTTGTGATGAAGCAACAAAGAGAAGAACCCACCACCACCAAATGGCGTGGGTGGTTTGGTGCTTAGGACCGAGGAACATTGCCACTCTTACACTGCTACGTCTACTTCAAGGTTACAAGTCGATCCTCTTTGCAATCGATAAGTACATACTGGAAATAGTATCGAGTAGTTTGCTTGTGGTCATGATATTCGTTCTGTATACTCAGTGCACTGTAAAGCGCGGACACCGTGGTAACAACCATTCCCGAACAGGCAATTAAGTGTGTACTACCTTCGTATCTGTAATATTGACATCCCTCCTCTATTCCACTTGGTCCAGTTCCCTTCCTCATCGTTGCTCCAACATCTCCTTCGCATCCTTCTTCTATAACGGCACATTCCCAGCCAATTCTGACTTGCGTTACGCGTCTTTTTCATGCGCAAATCATTCCATACCCCAGATATAGGTGCCGCCAACCCCTCAGCAACAGACGTTTAAGCTGTGAACCCGGCGCGTCCTACTGCCTCCGCCGTCTCTGGCCCTTCTTCTCGGATGAGGACAGAACGATCTCCTTGAGGCTGTCCAGGACAAGCCTACTAATCGCTTTCTTTGTGTCGCATGGCAACTCAAAATTTACTTCAATTATATTCAACATAGGTTGTCTCCGAACAAAGGACTCTTTTGTCACTTTGTTCTCACCCACCTTCCTCCGAACCATTTCTCGGGCTTCATTAAGTCGCCCTCGCCGCATCTTCTCAAGCCCAACTCGCATCGTTCACCTTGTGCAGACTTATGACTCAAACTTTCCCTCGGCAAAGATTCCTATCTGTGCTTTGAAACTACTTCTTGTCTTTCCTCTTTCCGGTTCTCGTCGAGGCTGCCTGCGCATTCGTCAACATTTCTTCCGAGGTTGCGGAGAGTTGCATTCAACACGGAATCTACGGGGTGAGTAGAGCGACGCTCTCACTTCTTCGGACCTAATCTCCCACACGGATTTAACCCAACCCCAGTGCACTTCCAGGAAGGAAGCTAATTCTGAATATTAAGAACACAGACATTTCGATACCGTCTTTCGAGATACATCAAGATGCCTCCCAGACGCGGTACCGTCAGGCAGAACGGGTCAACCCCTCGCGCTGAGGGCGCTCTTTCATATTTTCAACACCAATTGATGTCGGACAGTCGAACACAAGCCTTGCCCAACCTTCCTACTAGACAATCATTTGCATATGGCTCGGCTGAAACGCCGCTCCTTCCTCGGCAGCTGGTCCTCAACCCTCACATGGATTTGGTTGAAATGGCCGGCCAGATTGAGAAGGGTATCGAGGATGCGAAAGACCGGGAGCAAAAGGAAAGTGCGTCGACTGCGGATCGTAGTCGCCGACGAAGATCCTCGTCGGCTAATGTGTCACCAATACGAAGAACACGCCGCGAGCCAACTCCTGACCAAACGCAGCTACTCGAATCACTCCGCGATGCGACAAGATCCCCCAGTCCTATCAATGGCTACCACCCAAATGATCAATCTACTGCAACTCCTACCCCTCCGATTCCGCATACTATATCGACAACCTCAAGCCCCGCACTGGACCCTGTCCCAGAATCTCGATATCCCCATGTACCTGCTGATAAGCTATACCCGTCGCCTTTGTTGCGCTCGGGAGTTCCAGCGCATGACGAGCCGCCATTGAGCAGCTCGTCTGGACTTGACAATGAGTCCGTGATATCATACTCGATCGAGCGAGATATTCATGATGACGACTTGCGGCGGACATTGTCCGATGGCAAGAATATAACTGCCCCTCCTCGCCGGGTCTCTGGAATGGCATTCGTCAAAGATGTGTCGACTATTCATGAAGAGGAGGAACCGGACTCAAGACTTTCTCAGTACAAATCATCACCATTAAAATCACCTCCTGTGAAGCCCCTTCACCCGCTGAAATCGGTGGTAGCCCAGAAGGCGCCTTCTCCGGAGAGGTCTCCGTCACCGTCAAAGTCGGCTTCACCTCCGAAATCACCATCACTGGATAGATCGTCATCGCCTTGGAGGTCTCTCTCACTTTCAAAGTCACCTTCACCTGAAAAGTCACCTTCGCCTCTTCGACATTCCTCTCCTCAGAGAGCACCATCGAAGGCCCTGTCGCTCAGAACGTCGCCGCTACCCCAGAAGGCACCAACGCCTAAAAAGTCGTCGCTCCCACCAAAGGTACCAACGCCCGCGAAGTCGCCTTCTCTCTCGCCAGTGTTTGAGGAAGGTGCGTTGGAAACTACACCGGAGCCCGAATGGGAACCACAACCAGAGTTCCTTAGAGAGGACTCCCCTGTCACCCAACCGTCAGCCCCTGCCAAAACTGACATTCCTCACTTTCACACGGACGGGGCATCTGCTAGGGAGCAGCCAGCGCTCATCCGGCCATCGCTTTTCAATGAATGGCCTGATATCGGACATTCTACGCGTGAAAAACTATCCGCTGTTGGTCGAATCATTGCGCTGTTGGCAATGGCGATAATGGTCCTGACTAGTTCTAACTACCTGGGCGGAATGATTCCATTCGGTCAACCTCGGTACTATGGACCATTGAACGGAACAGGCCTAGATGCGATCAGCAGTCTCAGCGCACAGATGTCCAAACTAGGTTCACAAGTATCAACTCTATCGAGGGACATCAAAACAGTCAAAGCCGACATTCGAGCACAGCCGACAAAAGGTGTATCCACTGGGACACTTCTTGGCACGTACATTCCGAAAACTAATTTTCTAGCTGTACCACTTGGGATTATAATTGACCCGCACAAAACGAGTCCAACTGTGACGCAGCAGATCGGTTTCAGGAGAAAAGTTTACAGTTTCTTCCTGGAAGAGAATTTTCGCCGCCCGCAACCCCCGTTGTCCGTCGCGACAGCATGGGAAGATATTGGAGACTGCTGGTGCAGCGTCCTGCGCGACGGGATGACACAAGTTGGTGTTCTTCTTGGCTACCGGATCGTCCCTGAAGAAATCGTTGTCGAGCACGTTCCCAAAGCAGCGGCGCTGAACCCTGGACTTGCTCCCCGAGATATGGAGCTCTGGGTCCGGTTCCGCCGTGTTAAGAACGACACCTTGGTTTATCCTGAACAGTCGTGGGGTGAATACCTCAAGGCCCAAGCCAAACTGACGCCTCGCCCCAATAATCCTGCCGGGCAGGACGACTTGTTCAATGATGAGCGTTTCGTCTTGCATGAGCCCGTAATGCATGCACTCAAGCTGGCCTATCCCGGCGAATCGGAAGAAGCCTACTGGGGCCAGTATGATGAGCGGCTCGGACCAGCTTTCTATCGTGTTGGAAGATGGACTTATGACATCAACTCGGACCAGCATGCGCAACGTTTCATCCTTGATGCTGTGATTGATGACCCAGAGATCCGCGTGGACAAGGTCGTTATACGTGCGAAGAACAATTGGGGGGCCGATAACACATGTATTTATCGGGTGAAGTTGTTCGGCAAAAAGTAGTCCGCTATGCTACTTTCTACCTTTTTCTTCTCGTCTCCTTCCCGTCACTGGTACTTCCACCTCTCTTCTTCCTTCAGTGACATTTTATCGTTATGTGTCTCCATTCCTGCAGGCGTTCTCTTTCATCATGCATGGACACGACCAATAGACTGAAGCGCATTTGGGACAGAATCAGCTGGGGTCCTGATTTTTGGGTTTATGTTTTCTTTGATAAGGTGCAAATGGCGTCATTCTTCCTTTTCCTTTGAGCTCAGGGTTGGTCGATTCCAAGCGAGCTGTTTGCAGTAGATACCATCCGGCGAAGTCATGCATATCATTTGAGCTGATTGTTGTTGTTCTTACATAGCCACTTACCAGTTGATTTTCTTTCAAATCGATAGACCAGTATGCTAGTATTTTTTCGACTATATGCAAGATAATCTTCCGCTCAAAGTCATTCTCAGTGTCGATCACTTGTCTTGCTAGGTTGTTTACCGAAAGTGCAAGCTGTTCCTGACAACCCCCTTACTATCTGAAATTATAGCGTATCCCAGCCAGCAGGACAGTTTTTGAAATTGGTCCTAAGTCCCGCTGCAGCCACGCAATTTCGTGACTCTAGGACAGTGACAACACGGGACAGGAGAGAGCATGTGAGGGTAAGGTTAGTGGAGCTACTGCCTATCGGCTTCCATCTCGATCTCTCGATCTCTCGGTCCTTCATTTCCGGATTTTAAGCTATCATCTCTTTGAGATACTACCTAGCTCTCGATCCTCGGGAGTTTTAGTTTGCGTCCTCGTTTCGTCTACATGCCCGCGTCAAGTAACAGACATATTGGGGATCTGCCATGCCTGTGCCTTCTATTTTGCTCTCGACAATTTAGCTCGTCTGGCCGATATGGGCAAGGCTCTGGGAACAGGTCCAGTTGGAGGGGTTATTGCTGCATCACGTACATCCCTTGCTTCTGGCTTCTCAGGCGACCTTGAGGATGAGATGGACGGCCGACCTCGTCGCTGCCTGCCTTGAGCAACGTATCACTTGGGTTATACCTGGCAGTGACTGAGATCTACGCTTTGATATCAAGAAAATAAGGTTAACGAGGTTACACGGCTCGTGTAGGCCATCCATCTAGTCAGTCCTTCCGAGATCTCTAGAAGGGTCTTATATACTGGCGGCACCACCACTGTATGCGATGTCTGGAAAGCACCAACATTATTCTCCTTCGACGAAGCGTCAACAATCGAGCATGTGCAGCGCTTCCAAAGCATCATCCGGCAGGCACGAACACCGCTTCCGTGAAGCTTGTCCGCAGCCCGACGAGACGTCTGTTCTGCTCCCGAACCCTCCCACCGCATGCCCCTCCCACAAGCAGGACGGACGGTATGTCCTCCCGACCTTCCTCGGCGAGGTCTTCCAACTGGCGAGAGACTCCATCCCCGTGATCCTTGCCTACGCTCTCCAGAACAG